ACACACATCACACTACAAAACACACACACACACACACACACACACCCACACACACACACACACACCCACACACACACACACACCCACACACACACACACACCCACACACACACGCACACCCACACACACACCCACACACACACACACCCACACACACCCACACGCACACACCCACACGCACACACGCACACACCCACGCACACGCACACACGCATACAGGCTCGCACGCACGCATACACGCGCACACGCATACAGGCGCGCACGCACGCATACACGCGGATGCTTCTCGTGATCGCTGCCGGCAAGTCCTACAGACGGCATACGGTGCGGGCCCAAGGACAGGTATGTGCAGAGAGTTGAATGGCATGCAACGTGGCTGAATGTGCAGTCAATCTGTGTGTGCAGTCGCCATGCGTTTCGGCGGACCGGTTTACAACGTCGTCTCCGCAGAAATTTCGGGTCGAAGCACCGAGTGGCATGTACCATGCCTGCATATGGTGCGGGCCCAAGGACAGGGATGTGCAGGACATTGAATGGCATGCACCATGCATGAACGTCTATAGTGTACAGTCGCCTTGCGTTTCGGTGGACCGCTTTAGGACGTCGCCCTCCGCAGCCATTTCGGGTCGAAGCACGCGTCATCGGCTTTTTGCGCATAACTTGCATAATCACAGCTATCTGGACTCGTTGGAAATGTGTATTTAGACTAGGTAAGAGGTCGCGTGACCCGTATTGGGAAGCCGGCCGATACCTGGCAGTCGTGCTCGCGCTTCTTCATAGATGGCACCTGAGCGCCACCGTGGTGGGTGGCGCGCATGTTTTTGGATAAGCAGCCAGCGAGTGCGAGGTCCTGTTCGTGAGAGCAAAGAGAGGGCCGCAGAGGATGAGAGGCACTTGGAGGAGGCTTGCCGGGAAGGCTCGGTCGCTGTTCAAGCAAGGGCACGTACACTGATATCAGAACAGACTTGCGAAGCTACCTCCAGCAAGACGTTCGATGCACAGAAGGGATCATACCAAGTTCTGGTTGACGTTATTTTTGTCGTCCCCGCAGCAATTTCGGGTCGAAGCACCGAGTGGCATGCACCATGCCTGCATATGGTGCGGGCCCAAGGACAGGGATGTGCAGGACATCGAATCATGCCCGAACGTCTATAGTGTACAGTCGCCTTGCGTTTCGGTGGACCGCTTTAGGATGTCGCCCTCCGCAGCCATTTCGGGTCGAAGCACGCGTCATCGGCTTTTTGCGCATAACTTGCATAGTCACAGCTATCTGGACTTGTTGGAACTGTGTATTTAGACTCATAACTTGCATAATCACAGCTATCTGGACTTGTTGGAACTGTGTATTTAGACTAGGTAAGAGGTCGCGTGACCCGTATTGGGAAGCCGGCCGATACCTGGCAGTCGTGCTCGTGCCGCTTCATAGATGGCACCTGAGCGCCACCGTGGTGGGTGGCGCGCATGTTTTTGGCTAAGCAGCCAGCGAGTGCGAGGTCCTGTTCGTGAGAGCAAAGAGAGGGCCGCAGAGGATGAGAGGCACTTGGAGGAGGCTTGCCGGGAAGGCTCGGTCGCTGTTCAAGCAAGGGCACGTACACTGATATCAGAACAGACTTGCGAAGCTACCTCCAGCAAGACGTTCGATGCACAGAAGAGATCATGCCAAATTCTGGTTGACGTCATTTCTCAGTGGCTGAGGCAAGGGCACTGCAACGGTCTTTCTCGAGCGACAAAACCTTTGCGGGCTCTAGCAACTCGGTTGCGGCGGCTGGAAGAGGGTCTTCCTGGGCTCTGCGACTGTGCCAAGTCGTTGGTCTCGGAGCATCTGGCCATGGAAGCCGTGGCCGAGCAGCGAGACGCTGGATGGTTGCGTGATCTCGGCCTGCAGTTTCGTTTGGATCACGGCAGCCGTCCCCTGTACACATCTGGGCTGGACAGTAGCCGTGCTTGCGCGGGCCTGAGGAATCTTGGCGATTCTTGTTATTTGAACTCTCTGTTGCAGTGCTTCTTCGGTTGTAACCAATCGCCGCCAAAGGGTCCTCTGGCCGCGCAGGTGCAGCATCTGTTTCGGCAGCTGTCGGGGAAGGATGGACAGTGGGACTACGTCTCGCCGGCAGCAGTGTTGCACCAGTTGTGGTTGACCGATGGGGCTGTTTTTCAGCCTGGCGAGAATGCTGATGTCGTCGAGTGCTGTCATGTGCTGCTGAATGCTTGTTTTTCGGAGAGTACATTCTGGGAACATGGCGACCGTCGAGGCGGGGTGAGTTTGCGGGTTTTAACTGTATAGACGTGGGATCGTAACACGATGTTGTTTTTTTTTAATAGAGCGCAGGCAGACCTTCGCAGGAATGTGGCATTTATCTGCTGCCTTGGATTATTGACAAAAGTGTGATAACGATCCCGGAGTTGCTGCAGGCGCACTTCAGCGAGGAGTCTTGGCCGTCCACATCGGCAGTCGTCCTTCGCTTGGAGCAGTGTTCGGGAAGGCGGTTGAGCTGGACTGATGTGGACGCGGCATGCAAGGGCGAGGCATGTGGTCCTGTGCGGGCGTCGTACAGAGTGTCGGGTTTCATCTGGCACGGCAATGCGCACTACGTGGCGTACCTGGTCTGTGGTAGACAATGGTATTGCTTGAATGATGCAGTGATTTCCGAGGTTGGTGTCGGTGATCTCGGTGATCTGCCTTCTGAAGCTTGCTTGGTTTTTATGGAGAAGACGATGCGCCGGAAAGGGAAGGCTGCAGGAGCTGGCCTTAGGCAAGTAAAAAACAATCTTCCGGATCCTATTTGGCTGCGACTACCAGGAGTTCTGGCGAAAGCAGTGATGCAGCCTCTGTGTCGTCTGCGTGTGGGGCAGTTTGCTAGGCGCGTCGCGCTCCAGCGTGCGATCCGGATTGGAAAGCCGCTTGACAAGCTCGGCCGGCTGCAGCAGAGGTCTGGCCGCAACCAGGAGCGGTCCGGCCGGAACCAGGAGCGGTCTGGCCGGAAACAACACAGGGGGCTGGCCAGAACCAGTCTGGCCGGAAGGAGCGGGCTGGCCGGAGAGCGGGCTGGCCGGAACCAGGACGGGCTGGCCGGAACCAGGAGCGGGCTGGCCGGAACCAGGAGCGGGCTGGCCGGAACCAGGAGCGGGCTGGCCGGAACCAGGAGCGGGCTGGCCGGAACCAGGAGCGGGCTGGCCGGAACCAGGAGCGGTCTGGCCGGAACCAGGAGCGGTCTGGCCGGAACCAGGAGCGGTCTGGTCGGGCTGGCCGGAACCAGGAGCGGTCTGGCCGGAACCAGGAGCGGTCTGGCCGGCAAGACGGTCGCGAAGCCAGGCAACGGCAACACGAAGTCTTTTCGGCCAGAGCTTGGTCCAGCAATCTGGACGGCGGCAGGGGCGACCAAGCCAACGAGGCGGACAACCCTTTCAAGCGCTTTCAGCATGCGTCTCGGTTGCATGTGCGCGAGGGCAAGGAGAAGCTGATGATGTGGCCGCAGAAGCCGCTTCAAATGGCGGAGCAGCCTTGTCCCCTTTATGACGGCGTCGGCTTCGCGGTGCGGGAAGAACTTCTGGCTCACATCGACGAAATGCATGGAGGGTTGCAGAGATATCGGAACGCCTACCTGCACCTGGAGTCCTTGTGTCCGCACATCGTTGCAGGCTCCGAAGTGCGACACTATGTGAGCAACTACGCCGAGTTTTTGCGTCGGTCCGCCATGGACTGGGAGGCATCGGCGCTGTCGTGCGCGCGGGAGCGGATCGGATGTGCTTTCTGTGCAAGGTGCTTTTGGCGCGAATCTATGCAAGAGTGTTTTTTGAAGGGACCGAAATGTTTTATGGCAGCGGCAGAAACTGTCTGGGAGATGTTGTCCGTCAAACGTTACCACGAGAGATGGCCGCTCATTCCGACGAAGGACGGGTTGGGCAGTGTCTGTGATTCGTGATGTAGGCCAGCACGAGGGTCCGGGGTGGGATTTGCGCGTGTTCATTGCTGGCAGGAGTTAGAAGCCTCGATTGTCGACGTGGGCACGGCTCGATGTCCTGTTCTTGTCTTGCTGCACAAACGCCGGGTAACGGGTGATATGGTGCGGGGGAATGCTCCTGCGGCCGTATGTGAAGATTGCGTGGAAGCTTTCTCAGGGCGGAAGCCTTGGCTTTGCAAATACGCCCTGGCGAACGATCTGTGGTTGGGCCGTCCCGATCCATTACTCTGGAAAGCCAACATGACGCACGAAATGTGTCTGGCGTTGGCGAGGACTGTTGCCACGAAAGTAGTGTTGCGCGCCGGGGGCGCCTCTCAAGCCGAGAGCAGCAACAGGCCGAGCAACTCGTGGGACTACGTCTTTCAGCAGTCCGGTTTGGTGGGATCTGCGGTTGTTTTCCATAATGGGGATGCCGAGTATACGCTGGAGAGCTTGCCACCTACCAAGCTCAACGACGCTTTGGCAGTATCCTTTTGCGTTGACCTGCCAAGCGCGGGAATGCAGGAGCAAAGCAGGGCGACGGTGAGCCGAATTGCGCGGCTGCAGCTTCACAAGGAGGAGTTTGTTCAGCAAGCTGAAGCTTTGCGAGAGACGAACCCGGTCTATCGAAGTGGCGTGGACGAAATCAATCGAGAGCTTTTGGCTGAATGGTTTTCCAGCGAGGACTTATTCGTTTGTCAGTGTTGTCTTGTCTGGTAAGCACATGTCACATAAAGAAACGCAGATCGCATCGAAAGATTGCAGGAATCCGTCGTGCCTCCTCCGGTGCTGGACTGTGTGGCTGTGTGGTGGCTGTTCCTGTTGGCGAGGACGGGCCCGGCGCGGTTCGGCAAACCGGGCCAGCGGAGGCAACTGAAGCTGCCCAGCGCACTCGAGATTCTTCCGAGTCCGAGACCTGCGTGCTCGCCATGGAGCCGCAGGTGGAGGACTTCAATTCCCGCGGCCGAGAAATCTCTATGCTGGTCGTGAGCATGTTGCAGAAGTTGGAAGAGTTGCAAGATGCTGGCGCTCGGTCTGTTGCTCTGGAGATGGAAACCATGGTGGATGAGCAGCGCACTCTGGTGGATCACCTGGACCGCCAACACATTCTGGAACTCTGCCGCCAAATTCACGAGTCTTGCAGGCAACTTTCCGCTGCGGAGAAGCAAAGTCGTCTGGAGCGCGAGTTGCGAGATGCCGTCATGGGCAAGTCTCGACGGTTGAATGCTTCGGAAGCAGCTCTCGCGCCGCGTGTTGCGGAACAGGAGGATGATCGGCCTGCGCCGGAAGAAGCAGATCATGTGCATGGAGATGCTGCGGAGGAGGACGGTCAGGCCGCGCATCTGTTGGTGGCACGTGGCAAGCAGCCATTGAGTTTGTGGGATTGGAAGATTTGGACGATGGCCAAGCCGAGGTCTGCTTTTTTTACGCGAAGAGCTTGCCTATGCTGTCGACGGGGAGCTTGATGAAGGGGATGCGGCGTTGCGACCCGTATTGGGAAGTCAGCCCGCGTCGGATCCTTCGGAGGCAGTGCGACCCGTATTGGGGACCCAGCCCGCGCAAAATCGTTTCTCCGGCGATTGGACAGCATTACACATGATGGCGACTGTGTCTCGTCTGACTGATCAACGCGCTGCCGCATACAATTTCCTGAAAAACGGTGGCATGGCATTTGCGAAGAAACTACGGGAACTCAGCGCAGAGGATCTCGCCAGTGCCGCCCGCGCCGCGCCGCAGGCCGGGGGTACGGATCAGTTTTTCAAAGAAGCTGCAGTGCCGCAGACAGTGAAGGATGCGCTGCACGCCATGAATGCGGCTTCTGCCACAGTGTCGGGCACCGATGGTCATCGTCGACTGTGTCGACGAGGGCGTCGCTTACATGGAAGCGCTCGGACCTCCGTTGATTTTCCTGACTCCAAACGTAGCGGATACTCAGCATCCGTTGCTTCTGGTGGTTCAAGGGGAAGTCGTCGATCTGGGTGCTGTGAGCGGAGATATGGAGACAGTCCTGCCAAAGTATCGGGACATGCTGCGACGCTTGGCACAGGATCCTGTGGCTCTGACCGTTCAGTTCGAGCTTTTGATGCGTCTGTTTTTCCAGCATGTCCTGAATGTTCGACCAGACACACTGGATTGCCGACGCAACGCGCCTCGCCGCGGAGCGAGGGAGTGGTGCAGCGATGGTGTGGCGGCGGCTTCTACTGGCGCTGGCATGTTGGGTCCCATTCTGGCTTTCCGCGGCGAAATCGAAGCTCAGGGTCGGGGATCTTTGCATCCTCACATTTTGGTTTGGCTCGTTTGTCGTCATATGCAAGTTGTCAGCGATCTGGCGAGAATGCTGCGTGAAGAGAAACATGTGCTTCAAGAACGCCTCCGAACTTTCATGCGCATGACGGTCGCCAGTTTCGAATCCATAGCCCATGCATCGGTGCAAGCTGCGCCGCGCATTTTCGGCGATCTGGACGCGGGTCGGCCTGTGCCCGTCAGCTCTGTGGCGGGCAACTTGTGCAAGTATGATGGCGGGTGCGATTTGGATTTGTTGAGAGAGATGACGGACTTGTCCGAAGACCAGCAACGATTTCTTAGCGCTTCTTCAGAAGAGGCCTGGCGGCGACCCGAAATGCATCTGGAGGATTCGACAGGCGGCGCTTCGTCGATTCTCAGTACTCCGATTAACTGTCTGCCGGTGGCGCAGACTCCAGGCTATCGCCTGCGGAGTGTGCTCGCCACTGAAGCAGACCCGACAGCTGATGCCGATGCGTGGCAGTTGGCGTTTTGCCAGGCGCCTAAGCATTTCACGTAGTGCGGTCTAGATCCTGAATGTTGTTCGCAATCGAGTTTCTTCGTTGTGGGAGTCTTGTAATGTGCGAGGATCTGCACGATCTGGCTCCTTCGCTCCTGAAGCACATGTGCAGCGAGTCGTGCTACAAGTATTCGGATTCCTCTGCGACTCGATGGAAGATCTGTCGACACGGCTATTATCACGTGGTCTTTTTGTGTGAAGGCTGCCGAGCACGTCGCAAAGGCAAGCCGCTGCGACCCGTCATTCACATTGGCAGTGCTGCAGAGATGGAGTTTGGCTCCGCCGGCAAAATGCGTCCGATTCAATTGACTCCTTTCGAAGTGCAGACCTGCTACGGCGGCACCGTCGCGGGCAGGCATAATTTGGACGTCCAGGACATGCGGCGCGTGCTCGATCCCGCTTTGTGGCTGAGGGCGAGTGAAAGACTGCCTCAGATCGCTGGTCCGGCTAAGCAACTTGGCTACATGGCCGAGTACGAGTGGAACGGCACAGAGTACGAGTCGCGTTCGCCGTTCTCAGCCGTGTCTGTGTCCTGGGCATCTCGACGACGGCTAGCAGCCGGGTTTCGGGAAGATTGGTTGCAAGCGCATCGAGGCAGGAAGTCAAGAGATGAGTCGCGTGACCCGTATTGGGAAGCCGACACCGCCGGGAACACTTCCTCGTCTAGCTCTTCTTCCTCTTCAGAGGCAGACGGGGAGATCGACCTGGACAAGGCCATTCGCTGTGGAATCAGCGAAGCATTCGCAGATGGCATCAACAGCGGCTTTTACGTGAACAGACTCTGGGCGTTAGTAACTGTGCTCCAGGTGATAGGTGATAGAATGCTAGAATGGAAATAGGAGATGGTTGAGAGGTTGCGATGGAGGAAGAAGATTGGTGGAGGGGGGGGGGGCAGGACGGTAAAGAAATGCACTTACCGTAGGAACTGTTAAAGAGAGATGTGTGAACCGTGTTCTTGCTGTGTTTGTCTTCTTGATCAGGATACGACACGAAGCCGAATCAGGGATTGGGAGGCGTGCTGGAGGAGCTTCGTCGAGGCTACGGTAGTAAAATAAACTGCCGCTGACGTTTTTTGCTGCGCTTCGTCCGCTGTTCGTTGAGTTGTTATGTGTGTCCGACAGGCATCGAGCGTTTGGAGCAAGAACGCGAAAAGCGGGAAATGCTTCGTGCGCGGGAAGTTGAACAAGCGCGGGATGCCGGGCAGGAGTTGCCTCGCCGGCGCGGCGTGTTGTTTGCGGAGTCCTTGAAGACTTTGAGTCGCTTGAGTTCCTCGTATCGGAGGTGTCACTGGAAAAGCGGAGCAGAAGTAATCTTTCCTTTGTTGTACGGGCATCTGACGTATGCTTCCCATCGCACCTGGAAACTGTACACCAAGAAAGCCATCTTCTTCTGCCTGGAGGCATGGAGGCGTTGTTATGGAGACAGCGTGCTGCGTGGCAGTGTTGCTGATGGCGAAGAAGGAGAACCTGTGATTTATTGTCGGGAAGGCTTGGATGATTTGCTTCTGCGTGGCTGGCGAAAAGTTGAGTGCAAGGACGAGCTGACGGGCGAAAGCTTTCAGTTGTTCGTTGGATCCGAAGGTCAGATATGCAGCAGTGTGCATGAGGTGTTCGAGCAGCATCAAGCAGCTCGACAACTGTGCAAGTTGCCACAGCACAAGCTGACGTTCGTGCAGGCTCTCCTGAATCAACACGCTGTCCGGGAGAATCTAGCAGACCCCGATGCCGAGGACGAGGGGCTCGAGACGAATCTGAGGTCTTTGCGGGAGACAGGCCGGCTGACGTGTTGCGACAGTTTGTTTCGGTCGTCTTGGCGTTGTGATGGTGTCGTTTATTTCCACGTCTTAGATGGCGGTAAAGATAGATTAGCGGACAGACGCGAGGTTGCATTTTGCCGGATGACCCGTATTGGGAACTTCTGGATGCAACTTCTTGGATGTGTGGCATAAAGATGTATAGTCCATTTGAGCACGAGCTGCCAACTTGCTGGATGACCCGTATTGGGAAGTTCGGGAAGTGACTTCTTGGAAAACTGGAATAAAGGCGTGCAGCTTAAGCGAGTTTTGAGCGCGACCGACTGTTGAGGTGAAGATGCTCCGGTCATGGCGGTCGATTGCTTTCCGCAGACAGCGGGCTATTTGTCGGTGACCACGTCGAGTTTGGAGGATTACTTATTTCGTGGGGAGCATCCAGTGCTGAAAGACATGAGCTGGTCCACCTACGGAATGTGGGTGTACAGGGTGGAGCTTCCTCCCGGAGCTGAGACTTCCATCAGAGCAGCGGTACCTCGATTCCAGGATATGGGTGGGCACTCGAAAATTGCCCCCCAGTAGCTGGGGGCCTTTCAGCACAATGGCCACGGAGTAGCGCATGCTTCACCGGCCATGTGCAGTCACTCTAGCAAACAGACAAGCTTCGTTCTGTTTAGCTTCAGAGGAAAACCCCTTCGACGTTTTCTAGCGAAGCACCTTCGATGTTTCCAACAGGGATACTAGCGCTAGCATACACTGTCGTACCTCGTGCCTCGGCACGAGTGCGTACACTAGCTAGCGTATCCTCCCGCCACCTCCCTCTACACCTCCAGGGAGTACGTAGCAAGCCTAGCTTTAGCTAACTGGCTTCACGCAGTAGCACGGACAACACGAACTTCTCTTTTTAGCGTTGTGGCGAAGTCCCGCGTTAGCCCGGAGAAGAACTCTAGCCTTCGGCTAGCTAATCTCCTCGCGCAGCCGTAGGGCTACCAGGGACCTAGCTTACGGGCCTTCTTAGCGAACCTCGGAGCCTTCGGCTCTCCGGTCCTCTTCCTCACTCCTAGCTCTTGGAAGTAGCTAGCCGAGTGTTCGAGGAGACGACCCAGCACGCGCCACTCTAGCTTTTCCCCCTCCAGGTTCACCCTGAAGTCCGGGGAGAAACTAGCGAAGTTCTCGTTCGTGAGATCGTCCGCTAGCTGGTTCAGATCTCTGCGGATCCACTGTAGCTGAAGCTCACAGTTCTTAGCGGAGAGTTCCTCTGCTAGCTCCATCAACACCAGGGTCGACGGGAACTTCGTCGTCATGGCTTTCTTCAGTAGCGCCTCGTTGGACTGGTTGTCAGTGTAGCCACGGATGGCCACCTTGGAGGTCTTCTTAGCGTCTCCTTCTGGGACCCAGAAGAGCCTCACGCCGACCAAAGTAGCCAGTAGCTCCAGCGCGGCAATGACCTTGTTCGGGTCCCCTTTAGCGAAGGCCCAGGGGGCCCAGTCCTCCTTTACCTCTATAGCGAGAACCAAGGTCCGTGATAGTGGTCCACTAGCTCAAGGAAGCCCCCGATCCAGGCACGTCCGTTCTCGGCCTTAGCGTCGGTGTAGAAAGAAAGCGGCGCTGCTCCGTCCAATAGCGAAGCCGGCTTCTGGAGCCGGCCTCCAGCCTCCAAGCGGTCTGCTAGCCAACTAGAGAGGACGCGGATCATCGTGGGTAGCGTGAGGAGAAAGGGGCGCTCCCAGTCTAGTGCCATGGATGCGAAGCCCAGGCGTCCTAGCCCTTGTGCGAAGGGTCGGGCCTCACACTTTCCCTCACGTACTAGCTTCCGAAGCCATTCCACTAGCCAGTCGGTCCTCTTCTGGGACAGGCCTAGCCTCCACGTGGAGTACTCCGTTTCCATGCCCCCCTCGTCTTGGCCCACTTGAAAGGGTACCCAAGACTAGCGAGGAAGAGGTAGCTTAGCGGGATCCCCATGCGTCCTCTAGCCCCTCGGCCCAAGGACTCGAGGTCGTCGGCATAGAGTAGCATGTCTAGCGGGAACGATGGCCCCAGCAGCTGTTAAGTGAGCCGAAGCCCACACGCCGCTCTACGGGTCCACCAGTAGCTCGCACATGATAGCCCGAAGGTCCTCACCAGATTCACGTAGACCGTCTGGCTGTCGGGGTCCCCCGGTATAGCTTCCTCGGTGTCGATCTGACACCCCAGGTAGCCATGCTCTCCCTCGGCATGCTTGTAGCGCCGGTGGGCTTTATAGCGATGTCGCCCACCACGGAGAAGGCCACCTCATTAGCGTCAATGTGTTCCCGGAGTAGCTGTTTCTTTTCCCCAGCCCCTGGGGCCCGGATCTTGTCTCGGCACTTGATGCGGTGGTTGACCCGGACCCCGTGGGTAGCGTCGTGGATCATCCTCTTCTTTCCACTAGCTTCGTTCTGAACGATGACGGCTAGCGCGGCGATGGCGTGCTCGCCGTAGCGGGCTTTGAACTCGCCTAGCGTCATCTTGGCCATGAGACCCTCCGCCACGTCCTCTTCGAACTTTTCCCTACCCAGACCACCGATCGGATCTATAAAATAGATCCACTCGATCCAGGGTTTCTATTATAGCAACAGCGGCTCTATTTTAGCATGGCGGCTCTATTTTGCAGCAAAGCTGTACTTTGAGCAAAATATAGCTTTTATCGAGCATGGTCCTTGTTTCGATTCTGCTGGAGGAAATAAACCCTAAACTGGCTCAAGTCCGGGAGAAAACCCCTAAGTCCCTAAGTCGGCTCAAACATGCGGGAAAAAAAACCTTAAGTTCCCTAAAAATACAGACAGAGAGACACTGGCCCACTTATAGGGTCATGCCTCTCTGCATACATACTCGTTCGTCCGTACATATATCTCTGGATATATGCATATATGTATTTATATATATATATATACATGTCTACACTGACATATTCAAGATAGAAACAGGTGCATTCTCTCCCGTATTCGGCAAATGCGAATTGCACCTGCCCTGCCGACTGCCGGCCAGGCTTATCAGGGCCCGAGAGTGTGCAGACTGAGTTCTTGAAGGGCTCACTTTTCTTCTCCGATGGTCGTACACAGCAATAGTGCAGTCAGCAGCCCACCAAATGCCTAGGCTGACATTTGCGGCATGGGCCGCATGCCGCAGGGCACGAGAACATGTGTAGGCAGGAGTAAGACTGCTGTGCTAGCAGCCATGCCGAAGAAGTGACCAGCTGCATGCTTGGACGATGGGGATGATGATGAGAAAGATGAGGAGCCGTTGCCAGTGCAGGCACACAGACAGCCAGGTTTCAAGGATGCTAAGCTTTTGTCCTCCTGTTTGGCACCCTTCATCAAGAAACGACACGACATGAACTACACGTCTGCCAGACAAATCAAGAACATCCAGAGGCAGAAACTCACGAACAAGTGCACTAGCACGGATTCGGCATCATTTTGTTGTGCTGTTTTCTCGATCGTGCTGCATTTAGGACACTGTTTTGTAATTTGTTGCCGTGGTCCGTGAGTCGAGGTTCTATCAAGGCCTTCTTTCGTCGACACGATCCCTCAGTCGCACCTGGAATTTTCCTGATACCATCATAAAGAAAGCTCTACTCATGCTTTTCAAGAGCGAGGACAGACTCAAATTCTAAGTTTTCTATCCTTATGTTGGCTGGTAACAACCTATGCATTTATGTATATGCTAGAATACCAAGACAAGTGAGAGAGGACCACCATGAGCTGAAGGAAGAGATTCGAGAGGTGGATAGAGATGGTTGGGCCACGACGTGTACATTGAGGTGCTCAGCGATGTTTAGACATTATTCACAATCAGCTTTGAGGTGCAGGAAATGGGTCCCTGAGGCTCGTTGGCGAAAGATTACTGAATTCTCTCGGCCACTGAAGGACTTTTAACATGTGTAACCCCCAGGCTCACTGGAATGGGAAGCCGAAGAAGCAGAAGACTTCTCAGCAGACTACAAACTCCAACCGGGAAGCCGGGACGGTGACATGCAGACGAAAGACTGGGAAGCAAAAGGATCCCGCTGCCACCCAGGTCGCAAGCGAATCCCAGCAGCCAGCCGAGCAAAGCGCAAACGAGCCTGCAGGCGAAGACATGGATGACGATTGCCCCGACATAAGCAGCCCCAGCACGAGCAGCAGCGACAGCAGCAGCTCCAGCAGTGGCGAGTCAGATAGATCTAGCAGTAGCAACAAGCCTGTCTTACGCAAGCCGGCAAGCAAGGTTTCAAAGAAGCCACCAACAAGCAAAGCACAGCAAGCGACCCAACAGCCAGACGAAGAAGTGCAGCAAGCTGCAAGCAGAATGCAAAC